TTTTTGAAAAGTTCTTTAAATTATCAGAAAATACCTTAAAACCGGCATTAGCCAGGAAAAAAGAGTTTTTTTTTAATATTTACCAGTGTTTTTGGGCTAAATTACAAAAATTAAAAAAAATTAAACAATGATGACTTTTACGTTAATAAAACCAAATTTTAAGGATTTTTATGTTAATAGAGCCAAATTTTAAAATTTTTATTGCAAATTTCCCCTTCACTTTTGATTGTCAAATTTAGCTGTGGTAGGACATTTTGCGCCACTATGGTGATATTGCTTACAAACTTATAAGTACAGTCATTTATGGAAGATTTTTATTGTTTTTAATCTATCCGACTAATATTTTTTATTGTTTTTAATCTATCCGACAATGATTAGTGTGTATGTACTTTCATTCCCTTTTTAAGTATTTATTTAGCATCTTCAAATTACTTATTATTTTGAAAAATCCACTTAACTACATCAATGTCATCTAAATATAAAACAATACCCACTTATGGAACTTGGCATGATATCCTAATAAGAACGAAAACAATGAAAGTACGATACTATAAACAGATAAATTTTCAAACTACAACGCCTTAATAAGAAAATAAATTTGAAAATGCAATGTTGTTAACCATGGATGTGAAATTATCTATATCCAAAAAATTTGCTTTAAAATTTCGGATTTGGATTTGGATTTGAATTGTACTTCTATTGATTCTAGTGATTCTCGAGTATTCAGATTAACCAAAATGCAGAATATATATTTTCTATCTATTTTTTATTACTTTTTTGTTATTTCAAAACCAAATTAGCAAAGTTCATCAATTGAAATCATTCTTCATTTCCTTTTCATCTTAAAAAGATGAATATGATGTATTTCAAAGTCGAATAAACATGATGTTTTCTTTATATCTTTTTAGAAAGCCTTATATCGCCTTAACTTTTGTTTGATTGATTTTGTGTAAGGGAACCACACAAATAGAGGTGGAAGAGTATCCAAAGTACATGGTTTGTAAAATTTTATTTGAACGGAGTGTAGAGCTTGTATGTGAAAATAACTTTCTTACTATTGTGATATTGTCAAGGTTGAAACCATTCTTTGAGAAGTTATGTAGCTCCCAAATTAATAGCTACTTTTGTGAAAATCCACTTGCAAGTTTATAAGTGAAACCATAATATATTACCATTTATGTGGATATAATTATCTCTTTAGGTATTATCCTTAGATTTTGTATCTGATGATACTATTTTTAATTTGTATATTTTTCCAAATATAGTGTTATAACACAATAAACAAATCAATGTAAGTATGTTGTTTAGTGTATTTTGCCCAACTATTTATCATTTGGGTAACCAACTAGTGCTTATCTTCTCTTCTATTGTTGTTCTCCTCAGAGATTGATTCAGATTTAGATACAAGAGTTAGAATGATTCTAAGGGAGGACGAAGTCGGAATGCGGTTTGGAAACGGGATAAGGTGGTACAGGGGGTACCGCCGGGAAACAGTACCAACTACGGTTTCTTTGATTTAAGGTTTTCAATTGGGTTGGTGAACGTGTGAAAATTGAATCTGTGTATTGAATGTATTGTATGAATGCCTCTGACTTTGCTAGACTTTTCAAGAGTTTAATGCTTTCAAACAAAGATTCCTACTAGGGATGGAAATTTCATCTAACCCGGTGGGGAACCCGGTTGACCCCCCCCCCCCCCACCCTAAAAAAAAAAAAAATCGGGGACGGGTATTCCCTGCCAAAACGGGTACCGGGTACGGGGCTGAGGATCTCCATTATGTTAGAACAGGGGATGGGGTCGGGGTTGGGTAAAACAATCCCCAACCCGCCCCGCCCCCGCTTTGATGACTATATATATATATATATATATATATATATATATATATATATATATATATATATATATATATATATATATATATCATTTATTGAATTTGAATTAAGTCCGCTAAAATGAATCGATATATATTAGACCATCAGAGATAGAGTCCGTATATCAAATTATGTTCTCAATTCTAAGAGTTTGTCAATCGTCACTTCATTTGAAGATCTGTATACCAAATCATCACTTTTCGTTTTGATGCTTGTTAAACTTTATTATTGATGTAAACATAATCTAATTATGGCATTTGGTTTTAATCGCTTATTAAACTTGGTTTTTTGTATAAGTTGAGTTTATTATGTTGATAGATTAGGGATGGGCTGGGGAGAAGCCAAAATACAAAGGGGAAGGGATTTGATTCCCCGCATCCGTCGGGGATGGGGATGGGGACGAGGTTAGACACTCATGGATGGGGACAGGGATGGTTAACCCCGCCCCAAACCCGCCCCATTTCCATCCCTAATTCCTACCAACTTTTGAATTATTTAATGCATGAACTTTGACCATATTCAACGACATCTTTTCTTTATTTTTATTTTTTTTATAAGTTTATAAAAATGAATACATAATTCATTCATTTGTAGTGTTTTTACTCTAGAAAATTTTATATTTCATTCGATTCCTTTAGTTACATTCAATAGATTCCTGAGGCAAAGCTAAACAAACTGATTCTAGCCAAAAACGCAAATCCACAAAGACGGTTCAAGTCAAGATATTCCATTTTCTTTTCCATAATTTTAAAATCCAAACTATCAGATATACCAAAACTACAAATAGAACCAAAACTATCCACAACAATATTTTCCAGTTCTAGAAACTCAATTCCAAGAGTTACGTGATGCTCCTAACGTAGAATTTGACAGTTCTAGCAACGAACCGACGACCAAAAGAAACGAAGAAGAAACCAACAAGGAGTTGCAACATGTTGCTAAGAAAAAAACACAACTCTACACATCGCCGGAAGCGAAAGAACAGGGTGGAACGCGAAGAGTTGGCTTTGGCTAGGGCAAATTAGTGTTCAAATGGGAGGTTCAGATCGGTCATGGCACCAAGTAAACACAAAATGGAAATACATTCAAAATAAATATAATGCTTTCAACTGCATCTATAATCGTAAGATGAACCATATGGGTTGCGGGAGATCTAATGTTGAAGTTTTACACTCTTCCTAAGCGAGTATCGGAGAACTATTAATCAGAAAGGCTTTCCTCATCAGCAAGCTAAGGAGTGGTTGATAGACAACGACAAATGGACATTGGTTACAAAACCTGGTGAAGACTCCCTGTCTCCTTCTTTTGAACGAACCAAAACATCTTCATCCAACCCCTACACATCATGTTCTGATACATAATATCCTCCTGGATCCCCCCTCCCCATAACAACAGTCGTTTAGTGTTGAAGACTCACCGAATCAGAGTAAAAGAAAAGAAAAAAATGAAGCATCAACATCATAACAGAAAATAAAATGTTTAATCTCGTCAAACAAATTGTCGGCATCAAGATTGCAACCAAAATAGAGTCGGAACAGATACAATGGTATCGGGAAAAAAAATTATGCATTCTCGAAGCTAATGAAGAACGGAAAGCTCAGTTGTTGGGTCGGGAGACAGAGAACCAAGATATGGAGTATTTTCTTCGATCGCATGATCATTTGACCGGAGGAATTTTCCATACGGTGCTTGAAAGGAGACGACAAAATGCAACTAAGTATAGTTGGGAGTTGAAGAACCCGTAAAGTTCAAAATGTCGGCATCATTTGACTGGAGAATCTTTCTTTATGTTATTATGTATTTTCTTTTTCTTTTTCTTTTATTTTATTTTTATTTTTATTAAGATTCTCTATATGTATCCTTGTTTCATTATATATATATATATATATATATATATATATATATATATATATATATATATATATATATATATATATATATATATATATATATATGTATGTATGTATAATATGTAGTGGCGGAACCAGAAAATCTTGTAACGGGTAGCACAATAACATCCTGATAAAAGATAATAAGATATATATATATATATATATATATATATATATATATATATATATATATATATATATATATATATATATAGGTTCAGGTTCATTTGAGACCATTCTAATTTTGTAAGACCGTGAGACCAAATCTAAAAATAATTTTAAAATGCAAAATAAATGGAAAAATCCAAAAATTCTTTTTTTAAGTATTATTTTCGGAATTTGAATTAACTAAAAAAAATAAAACAAAAATAAAAAAAATAAAAAAAAATCTTGTTTTTTTTTTGTTTAAATACGTGAAATATTCTAAATAGAATATTACACTGACATATTCTTAAAAATAATTTTAACATCCAAAATAAATGGAAAAATCTAAAAAAAAAAGTTTAAATATTATTTTCGGAACTTGAATTAACTAAAAAAATAAAATTAAAATTAAAAAAAATCCTATTTTTTTTGAAAAATACGTGAAATATTCTAAATAGAATATTACACTGTAAAATTCTAAAAATAATTTTAAGATGCAAAATAAATGGAAAAATCAAAAAATTCTTTTTTGAAATATTATTTTCGGAACTTGAATTAACTAAAAAAAATAAAAATAAAAATAAAAATAAAGCCGTCTCACATGAACCTAACCCTATATATATATATTATATATATATATATATATATATATATATATATATATATATATATATATATATATATATATATATGAGTAGGATCAAATGAGAACACTAAAAAGGTTGAGAACGCGAGAACAAATCTGGACCATTTAAATACTTAAATCTAAGGTCATTATTGAAAGGGGGTTTTATGAAAAATTCTTAAACTGTTGGCATTAAAATGTAACTTTTAAATGGTTAAAAGGACATAACAGGAATTTCAACTTTACTATCTCCTATAATTTCTCACTCGTTTATATATTTCCATTAATCTATCGTGTATATATTTCCACCTCTTCTTCTTAGGGTTTCATAAAACTCACGCCATCATCGATCTGGGCATCACCTACAACCCACCACGAAGATCTGTTCCCATCATCATTGGTCTCGGTAGGTGCAGCAAGGGCTGCTCAAGCAGTTTTTGGCTGCTTCTTCTTCGATTCCGGTAGCATATGCGAAGGGGAGGAGAACATTTGGCCCGATTGAGCAAGGCAAGCGGAAACATCAGCTTCGGTAAGGGTTTTCGCTGTGGTGCTATGGTTAGTTCCGCCTCCTCATCGGCTCATTCATGCTTCATCTGCTTCGAATCAATCCAACCGACTCATAATCGCTTCTTCCTCATATCTCTACAGATCCCGATCAAAGAAAGGTACGTTCGATTTGCTGCTGTTATTCGATTCAATTGTGTGTTTATATTCTGAAATTTGATTTTTGATTCGGATAATCGACTTTCTATTTCCTGAATTTGCGGTTTGTTAGTCTCGATTGCGGAAATCCTCTTAGGTTTTTGTCTATAGATTTAAAATCTACATGTGATCAATCATATTGATAAACTGTTCTTTCTGATCCCAATGTGATACATTCGTTCAAAAATCATATGAGAAAATTGCCTGGATGATTGAGCGCAGGGGAGATGGATCTAACATATGTGTTTTTTTTAAAGGCGATGAACTGTGCACATAAGGTGCTCGATAAAATGTCTGTGAGAGCATTTTCGACTGGAATGATGGAAGGGATCTCGATGGGGCAGTTGCTTCGATCGGTAATGATTCTCATCTCTTTTCTTTTTATTTTGACTGTAAATCGATGAAGTTTAATCAACTACATTTCTTTACTCGTATTTCTTTCTATTCATACATGAATCTAGCTATGGAATTAAGGTTTATGAACCACAAGATCTTATCGTGAAAACGTCTACTCAAAACCACAAGGTTTCTGCTATTTTGGTGTTCAGAGACTTCACTTCTTCTGACCCCTTTCACGGGCAATTTCCCACGTTATGGGAGAGATTTTGCAAACCAAAAAGCGGCAGCGAGGTGTACCAATGGAAAGAAACCCAATCCTAATTTTCGAATTTTTTGGTAATAATTTCTTGAAGGGGTGCGTGAATGGTTGTATTTATTTATGAATAGCACGTGTATTCATTTATGAATAACATTGTAGTTATGTATGAATAGTTGTATTCATTTATGAATAGCTTATGTATTCATTTATTATAGAATGTGCATTAATTTATAAGTAACATTTGTGAATTGTATTATTTATGAATATTTGTATTATTTATGATTAGAGGTATTTATTTATGATTAGAGGTATTCATTTTATGAAAAAAATGATAATTTTTACACTTTTTATTTATTTTCAATTTATGAAAAATGCATTGAATTATTTGTAATTTGATGTGTTTTCATTTATGATTGGAAGTGTATTGATTTGCGATTGGATTTCTATTCTTTTTTTTTTTTTTTGAAAAAACAAAAACGTGAAATAGTAGAAAATAATAATTTTTTTAAGATTTTCTTTTCAGATTTAAAATAAAAGGAAATATTAATTTGTTTAAGTGATTTTTTTGAAACGGTCATAAATAATTTTTGGGAAAAATCATAAAAAAAATATTTATATATATTTTATTAACTAAAAGAAAATATTAATTTTGTTAGGTAATTAAAATCATTATCTCTATATTTTAGGAAATCAATAATTAATATTTATATAAAGTTAGTAATATACCCTTATAAAATGATTGGTCCAGAATTGTTCTCGTGTTCTCAATCTTTTAGGTATTCTTATTAAATATCTCCCTATATATATATATATATATATATATATATATATATATATATATATATATATATATATATATATATATATATATATAGAGAGAGAGAGAGAGAGAGACACACACACACAATTTCTTTAGAAATAACAAAGTACCGCAAAAGTGTTACATTTCAAAGTTGGTATTGTTTACTCATTTTCTGAAAGCGTCTCATCACCTGTTTGATCTTAAAATCCATAAATTATTCTTTTTCTACACTGCAAATTAAAGCATCGTTTATAAAATCATCACACATTTTATTACAAAAAACGGTATTCAATAACTTTATTGTGGAAAAACATATTTCAATTAAGGTATTTTTTTCTCACCATTTTCATTACTACTACCAACATCTAATTCTTTTTTAAAAAAAAAAAAAATCCAATTAAACCCTACAAACACACTTTTGATTTAAAATTCACAATTAAAAATTTAAACCTTATATCAGCAACATCGTAACAATGGAACAACTAATTGACTGATTAGGTTTTTAATTTTAAGAACTAAATTAAAATAAAACATTAAACATTAAAGATGAAAATTGAAAAAATACTTGTTTCATGAGGATTCCGTAAGTGAGCAAGTGCCAAATTGGAGAAGAATCTTAATTGACAAAAAGGTTGTCTTGAAGATGGGGCAAGAAGGAAACGATAAATCGAAAAAAGGAAGATATTACTTCAAGTGTTTTTCCTTCCGTCGTAACTCATATTCTCATAAGAATGTACACACAAGTTAATGGGCTTCAATATAATATGGGTTGTCATCGATTAACCGAGAATCGAAAAGGAAAAAATGGACTTCAATATAATATATGTATTTTAATGTAATACAAGAAGCAAGCAAGTTGGCACCCTTCAATGTAAAAAAAAAAATATATTGATTAATTGAGGGGTAGCACCCTACCAACTAGCTAATTCCGCCCCTGATAATATGTTTGTTTCATTTTCTCCCTATCTTTTCTTTCTTTTCAAAATGAATCCAAACGTACGGAAAATAGTAATGGAAGTTAACGGATAGTTCTATCATCTGCTTATCAACAATAATTTGTTACCTATATTGTTTCGTACTGCACAACTTGTTCTTCAAAATAATGCTAGTTCAAGAAACATTCAAAGGAGAAACACAATCCACATAGATCGTTTAGAGGTTGAACAAATGCTGATCCGACATTATTTTGTGGATGATTCCACTTATGGTCACGTGTAATTTTGCAAAAGGTTCCGTATGAGCAAATGTTTGTTTATGTGACTTGTTGGTGACATGGAGACGAATTATCCTTATTTTCAAACAACATGTGATGAAAAAAATGAGAGAAGTTTCAGTGCGCTACAAAAATGCACATCAGCAATACATCAATTAGCGAAGGGTTATAACCCAGACTCGTTTGATGAGTATCTGAATATGTTAGAAAGAACTTATCGTGAAGCTCTTGAAAACTTTTGCTACGGTGTTGCCCAAATGTATAAGGCTGAATATTTATGTTGTCTAACATCCATTGACATTCAACTTTTGTATGAAGCATATGGAGCTAGACATGGATTCCCAGAAATGCTTGGTAACATTGACTGCACACATTGGAATTTGAGGGATTGTCTAACGGAATTGAGAGGTTAATACATGAGGGGTGACCATCAGTATCCATCAATGATACTAGAAGCGGTGATGTCACAATATTTATGGTTTTGGCATGTATTCTTAGGGATGAGATTCAGAACTGAAAAACCAGACCGGAACCGGAACCGTTAGAACCGGAATATGTAAAACCAATCCGGGTCCCCGGTTTAAAAAAATGGCTCTATCCGGGTTTCGGGTCCTTCGGGTCCGGGTAAACCGGGTTTAAGAACCGGAATCGTGTTAGGAACCGAAAATAGTTTTAGGGGCCAGAACCGATTTCAATGGAAAGTTTAAAACATACATATCTCATTCGTTTGAAGTCTGATTGGCATGAGGTTTTTTCCATAGTATAGTTTATAGTTTTTACATGATTTTAGACTATAATTTTATCATTTTTGGGTTTATATTCATTGACTTATAGTCTCTCAAAGTTGGGATATCAAAGCTATAAATTTTATGTTTTTCACATTTTTTATATTCTGTGATAGTTTTAAAACATGCATATCTCATTCGTTTGAAGTCGGATTGGCATGAGGTTTTTTCCAGAGTGTGGGTTATAGTTTGTACATGATTTTAGACTATAATTTTGTTATTTTTGGGTGTTTATTCATTGACTTATAGTCTCTCAAAGTCAGGATATCAAAGCTGAAAGTTTATGTTTTTCAGCTTTCTTTGTATTTCGTGATAGATTTAAAACACGCATATTTGATTCGTTTGAAGTCGGAATAGCATGCGGTTTTTTTCAAAGTGTAGTATAGAGTTTGTATATGATTTTAGACTATAATATTGTCATTTTTGGTTTCATATTCATTGATTTATAGTCTCCGAAAGTTGGGATATTAAAGCTGCGAAATTTTTTTTCTAAGCTTTATTTTTGTATTTTGTGAAATTTTAAAACATGCATTCGACCCACTTTACTTGGTTCCCTGGGTTTTTCGGTTTTATACCCACTTTACCCGGTTCCATTCGACCCACTTTGATATTTTCGGGTTTTCCAGTTCTAGACCCACTTTACCCAGTACCTTACCCGAAACTGAACCGAAACTGATTCCTATATACCGGTTCGGGTTCCGATCCTAAAAAATCTCGTTAAACAGTTCCCGGGTTTTCAGGTCCGGTTCTACCAGTCCGGGTTTGGACCCACTCTCATCCCTATACATTCTATGGTGTAGCCAATTCGATCAATGATTTAAACGTCCTCTACTAATCACCAGTGTTTGATGAAAAATATCATGGAACAGGACTTAATTATTCTGAATGATGAACAGTACAGACATGGTTACTATCTTGTGGATGGAATATATCTATCATGGGTAGTATTTGTGAAGGCATATCCATATCCAGTAACCGGAAAAAAAAAAAAAAGATACGATTCAAGGCATCACAAAAATCAGCAAGAAAGGATGTAGAACGTGCTTTTGGGGTCCTTAAAGGATGTTAGGACATGTTAAGTATGTCTGCATGGGCTATGACGGTAAAGAAAACAAAAAATATGATGTATGTTTGTATTATACTAAACAATATGATATTAACAGATGCGGGTGTTGCGATATTTCCTATGTATCAGCCCGACTCCCCCCCCCCCCCAAACTTGACAAGCATATCCAGCCACAATATATACAACAAATCTCTTCTTTTTATTTAGCTGAAACCTCTCCCTTGTGCTATATATCAGAATCTGATTATCCAAACTCTCTGCAGCTAACCAATTCCCATTTGGATGAAGTGAAATGGAAGGCATAGAGTGCATGTGAGGTTTACTTATGTACTTTATCACAACAGGAATACCAAATTCCCATACACGAAGAGATTTATCATCACTAGAAGTCACAAATGTTATTGTATTCACTGCACCTAGATGTTGATCATACTCTTGAGTAATTTTCCCTGTATTAATGTCCCATTGAACAATCTTTTTATCACTTATACCCGCTAAAAGAATATTTTGTTTATCGTCATCTGGATTTAGCTTAACCACATATGGTATTTTCCCTGTTGAAAAAGTGGATATCACCTGCCCTGTTTCGGTATCCCAATACTTGATGTTCTTATCATATCCAGCAGTTAGAAACTTAGACCCATCATTACAAAAGGATATGTCACGAACTACTTTAGAGTGTCCTATGTAAGTCCTCATACACTTTCTTGAATTGAAAACGTCCCAAATCTTCAGCTTGCTATCCATTCCAACCAGATGGTTGAGTGGGCTCGATAATTTAGTCGATTTGATTTTGCAATGCTAAATAAGTCTGGAGAATTTTGTCGGCTTGATTTCTGTCACATTCATAAAAATTTAAAACATTTTCAAACATCCAAAAGCCATTAGTTATTACGAAATGTTTTCAAAATAGTTTCATATCAGAGAATCCTAGAAATCAAAATCATAAAATGTGAGGAGGTACACAATCAAGCCTTTGTATTCCTGCGATCATCTGAAGTACCTGAAACAAAATCCAAAACTGTAAGCCTGAAGCTTACTGAGTTCCTCCAAAATACCAACACCATACAAACCAGAATAATATCATAACAAATAACATGCATATAGAGTCTTCAGTATGACTGGACCGCCCTCACCGAGACTTTAGTCTGTCTGACCCACTCTCAGAACCTTCAGCATGTCTGGTCCGCCCTATT